AGTCCAACAGACATGAACTGACAACTGCAATAACCCCCCCCCCCATCGACACACATAAACAAGTTTACATGATTTCCATCGACCTGATTCTACCAAGGTTCAACCGTAAATAGTGATGGTGAATCAAAACGTGTGTTTCTTAGAGAAATGAAGGGCGAGACCGAAGTCTGGTGCTTTGTTCCACTGTGCAAAAAAAGAAAATTATCACAAATTTTCTGATGGTACTTTAAAATAAAACTCAACTCAATTAAAATGGTATCAAACAGAACGACTGATGACTGATGCAATAGCATTTGGAGCAACAAACATCAAAATATCGTACCACTGCATCGGATACAGCAGAAGGTTAGACGCCAACACGCAAGCGCTCAATTTTCCCAGTTTTTCACTCGTGAAAACTACCCTTCGCTCGCACAACAGGCTCGCGAATACGCTGATCATGTTTTCCTCGCTGACGGCGTTATAGTATTCGGTCAGTGACCGCTGAAAGCAATCGTCGCCCGTTGGTCACAACCATCTGATGACAGTTCCAACCACAAATAAGCACGATACTTACATTTTCAGGAATTTTCGGCAACCTGCTGTAGTCGGGACAAACACACTCCATTTTCTATAAGAAAAAATACCGGTAAGTTTTTTAGGCTAAACAGAAATTTATACAAATGAGCTACGCTTTTATATAATAATGCAGAAGTCAGCATTGCACAATGGTCATACGAGGAATGAAAATATGAGAATATGTTTAAACTATGATATGGCTTAAAGTTCAAGCTGACCTGTTACTACTACGAAAGTATCACAAAATTACACATTAAATCGTGTTTGACAAGTTGATAGAAAACGAATGAAAGCTAACATGAACGACAATTAGCTGAAATGCCTCCATCGACAAAAAACCATTAATCTTTCTAAAACAACTATTGTATGCAGAAGATAACTTGAAAAATAAGCGATCATTACAGCTGAAATGAACTACGACCGAAAAGCAGAAGTACAAAACGATCTAATTTTTGCACTTAAAAATATTCAGAATTTTGAAGTTGTCTTCGATGGATAAACTGAAGGAAGAACGATTTATAGTAAAGGAGTTCTTCCACATTTGTGTATGGAAGTATCAATTATGCTACGTTTTTCCTTAGCTTTTAAAATAACTTCAATGGGCATGTTGCAATTAATTTTGTTTGAAGCGCGTGACTTCACGACCAGAGTGGAACGCAACAATCACTCAGGATTCGTTGATATATCTCGTTGTGAGGATGTTACGAGTGTGCGCAACGACATGTATCGACTATGAAGTAAATCGTTACATTGTTCTAGAACGAGAAGGATTTTCAAAATATTTCTTTTCTCTTTCGGGCAGTTTTGACAAACTGAGCCAGGTAACGTTCTCGCACTGTGGTGGTCGTCAGCATCTCCTCGTTCAAGGCCCGATGATATCATCGCCCTTTGACCATACTGCACACACATCGCTGTTGAAAGCTGTTTAGACGCGACTCATGACATTTTGGGACAGTAGATGCTTCAAGACTGTAGATGAGCATGGCGAATACGGCTGCTTCTAGAACGATAATCGTCTAATCCGTTCTTAAATTTCGATCCTTTCACATTACATACAGCTAGCATGAATTCGCTGATGTTAGTCCAATACACCGGTAGACGTCAGTATCAATGTCGCTAGCTATCGTCGTTAGCTGACAGTTCTCAGGGTGTTGAAATGGACCGTAACATCAGCCTTCTTACGGCTTTTTCTATGCAGATGTTCAGAGTTTCAATGTAACGATCTCATGTTCCACGTTTATATCTCTCTTTCGTTCGAGTAGGGGTAAGCGGTGAAGACTCAATGCAATAAAGCGTTCACACTCAGCGTAAAGTACTGCTCAAAATATAACCATCAAGGCATCTGACTTTTGGCAAAAACCAAGCTGCACACGCGGAGCAACAAAAAACAATAATACCTGAAAGAAGGGCATCCCAGATACACGGGAATATGCGACTTGAGACAGTGAATAAAATACAGTATCTACGGACAGAATGAAAACAAAAAGATATAAAAAATAATAAAACAAAATGCCAGCTGAATAATCCTATCGAACAGTGAAAAAGTTCAACTACTGCCATTTATCGCCTTCCGCGTTTCAGACTATCTGAGATAAAGGGTTTGGCTGTAATACAAAAGTCCTACAAAGTAGATGCCTACTCAGACGGAAGAAAATATAAAAAAGACGAAG